TTATACCTACACATATATCCACATGATAAGGATTTTTGAATTTACTGCAGTGTTTAGAACAGCGAACGTGTGCTCCTGAGAGAAGTGACTTCAGCTGTCGGAGCCTGAATGACTGCATGGCCATCCCTGTGCCGAACGTGCTGTTTGCCTGCAGGAAGCCAAAGCTGTGCCAGCTCCTCCTGCCCGCGTTATCCCGAGCTGGAAGAACCAAAAGTCTTCTCCTGGCTTCTGAGAACATGGTGGCTGTAGCCTCCAGTAATGCTGGTTACTGAGTGGAGCATGGGGTCGCTCCCAGAGTAGAAAGAGGATTTGGACTGAGAAGAGAGAGGAGTCGGGGGGCAGTGGAGAGGCTCCTGCCCTCTTCACGATCTCATTTGTAACACCAGCACCAGGCATGGCCCCAGTTCTCATCCAGAAGTGCTGTGTTTGGAGGGACCAGACACCTCGAGTTACTGTCTGCCAAGCAGCAGCCCTTCTTCCTGCGCTTTATGGGAACGTGGGTGTGCTGGGGAAGGGCCTGGTGGGGCTGGGGCAATCCCCCATGGCCTCCTGCAGCTCCGGGGCCCCCAAAGCTCCCTGACTGCTGTGACAAATGGGCAGCTGTGGCATTTAATGAAGATTCAGCTTCCAGATCTGCTCCGAGCATTGACCCACGCCGGTGACTCTCTTGTAGGCAAATGCTTTCGCAGTGCTGCGTCACCCGGGTATGAAAATGTAAAACTTGGGGACGTTTTCGGGGTTCTTGGCGTGCCCGCCCTGCTGCAGATGGCTCCCCACTCCCCCGGCGGTGGATGGCGTTTGTCACGAGTGCTTGAAAGAGTTCAGGACAGAAAGAAAGGAGAGCGGTGTTGTGATGGGATTATCAGAAGCCTCCGTGTTTCGTGGAGAAATTCATCATAATCCTGTTACCTGTGCACCAGTTAACACGGCTCGTCATTGCCCCGTGCTCGGGAGGGGTTTCTCTCCACAGCACGATCTTATTTTCCCTGGCACAGGTTCTCCTAGGGACAGACCCTGGTATTCCTGCCTTACCAGCTCATGGATCCAGGTTTCCTTTTGCCCTGTTTCGAATCTCCCCTTCTGTCAGAATTTTCCTGCTGCTGCTGTTGGTGTGAGGTGGTGATGAGCAATTTGGGATCAACCTTTGTGCAGCAGTGTCCTCGTTAAAAGAGTTAACAGTGAAAATTGGCGTTTTCTTGAAAACTGAAAGAATTAAATGGAAGCTGAAGCAATCACCCAGTTCCCAGCTCGTTTCTAGCTAAGGCACGAACCAAAAGCTTGCAGCTGCCTGGTGGCAGCAGGACACGCTCGGCTCTGTCTCTGGGAACTGTAAACTTCTGCAGTGGTTTTGCAGACTCTCACGTACGCATCTCCAACAATTTATATGCTGCTGCTGGTTCTTGCAACCGAAACTCTGAGAAAACGTTTCTCAGAGCAAGCTTAGCGCAAGGAAATGCAGTGCACGGGGCCACTTCTTTAAAGATCTGCACGGACCACGTGGTGTTTGCTGGAGTTAATAGGATGCCGTGGATACCGCACTTCATTAAGCAGTGCGTTTCTTGAAATAATTAAAAACTCTGTGGATTGTTTACAGGCTGCTTTTGCTGTTTGTTCCCTTCAGCCTGCTGCGATCTGCAGTTTTTCTGCTTTGGAGAGCAGGGTATTGCTCTCCCTCTGCCGTTTAGCCCAGCCTTGCTTTGTGGCTGCATCAGATCTTGCTGTCTCCTTTCTGTGAATTTGTTCTCTCTTTCCTCCTTCCCTCTCATTTAGCATGCTCCAGTAGCCTAAAATTCAGCTGGTAAGCAAAGTGAAGCTTCACCCAGATTTGTAAAATCTGTCTTTACCTCCTGATGCCAGCACCGCCACCCCGAATAAAGGAGACAAAAAATTCCCCTTGTCAATTAGAGCAAAAATGCGGCTGGCTTGGCAGCAGGTGCGGTGTCTGTGTTTGCACTGGAGATGTTTACAGCACAGCCACCTTCCCTCATCGCCAGGGGAAGGCTGGAGCTGCTTACTCAGAGAAATCGGCAGTGTCCCTGTGCAGTGGCTCTGCTGATTTGTATCAGAACAGTCCTTTAGCTCAGACTTGTCAAATGGCTTTGGGTGAGCTCCAAGCTTTGGGGAATTGTGTAAATGGAAACCAAAAGTTGGTAATCAATAAAGGCTGCAGCCTGAGCTCTGCTGGTCTGACTTGCAAAATGTGCTGGAGATTAAGTCACTGTTACGGGTTAGGCATGCAGAATTGCTAATGCTGCTTTTAAAATATTCCCATCTTTCTATAAATTCTGGAAGCACAGAGAAAAAGGCCTGGGAGAATGAAGGGATAAGAGATGAAACATTTATTCTCTTGCTGCATTCTTGCTGTGTCCATACACTTGGCCGCCTTTACCCAAAGCTGCAGCTGAGCACTGAAGGAAGGGAAACCCTGCAGCAGCCTCGCTGTGCTCCTGCAAACCTGCTGCTTTGACCCTGCCACAGAGCCACAGGGCTCCCAGTGGGCACACCACACCTTGTTTTAGCTCAGCTGGTGCTGAGCTGCTCTCCGTGGATTTGTCTAACCTTTTTTTGATCCGTTTGGAAAATCTGCCTTGTTTTCTCCTGCATCCTGTGCCAATGAGCTTGGGCCTTTTTTTGCTGCATGCAGAAGTATTTCAGCTGCTCGAAGCACGACCTCGTGGTGCTCACACGTACCAGGAGTGTTCCTGAACAAGCACGGTGTGGCTCTCTGCATACAGTGCTGTTGTATGAGCCAAATTCCTCTCCAGGCACAGGCATGTCTCATTTTTCATCCTCTAGCTCCCTGATGCATGTATGTAGCTCCTGCACTCCTGCCCTGTCAGTGAGAACTGCTGAATCCTGAAATCCTAAAGAGCACGAGAGGCAAGTTCTGCTGATTCAGAGCTGCTGCAGTGCCCTGGCCACCTGACTTAGCCACAGCTTTACTTGGTTTCTACCTTTCAGGATTTTTTTTTTTTTACTACTGCTCTGAACTTAACTTGTGGTATATTTTACGAATGCATTCTTCCCGCAGGTGGCTTATTACTTGGGGATGCTGTGCTAATAGCAGCTATTCTGCTTGTGTCAAAAGCTGCTGGAAGTGCTGATTGTTCCCTTAATGTGCCATTACCCGGGTAGCCCATATGCACAGCATAAAGGGGAGCAAAAGAGAACTTCTCCTCTGCAAAATTAGGAGTTGCATAGCTTCCACGCGTCGAATGGCAGGTTTTTTTGTTCGTGAAACAGCAAATTCTTGGGAGGCAATCATCTCTCTGAATTTTAGGCACTTCCAGCGTTGGCATATCCATCACAGCTAGTGTTTCTGTCTGGATAATCAATGGGAAGAAATGAGCTCCTCTGCAGTGCATTCCCATGATCTGTGCTGGAGGCTCTTTCTGAAGGTGATGAATTGCACCCTGGAAGTGCAGTTCGGTGAGTCTGGCCAGCTCGGATGTAGACATCTCCATCGCAGCCAGCTCCCAGAGGATGATTCATCTCCTCTACAAGTCTGCAGCGCCGGCGTCTCCAGCACGGATGATCCTTCTCGCTCTCCTTATACTCTGGAAACCTGGGCAGGACACGCAGGGGAGTTCAGGGCACGATTTAGCGGGTTGAATGCACCCAGGTTTAGGTGAGAAGACTTTGTTTTATCTGCCCCGTTGGGGTGTGAGGTACCCCATGGAAGTACCTGCAGGTAATCAGAGCACCCCCCATTACGTGGTGCGAGTTTCTCTGCTCAGCAGCGGAGGGCAGTGTGCGTTTGGCTGCCAGCCACGAGCCAGCTGAAATCAGTGCTAAGCACACGATCATGAAGAGATGGATAAAAGCTGGGGGGGGGGAACGATTTCGGAATGATCCACCCTCTGGGATTCGTTGGGTTTTGTCGTAGTGCAGCAAAGTCAGTAATCTTCCTAATAAATTGCTGGATCAGACGAAAAACCCGTTCAGCCCATTTCTTTATAGGTGGAAGCGGCCTGGAGTGGAGAAGCCAGGAAAAGAACCCAAGGAAAAATTAACTGTGCTCCTTGATAGGTCCTTATCCCTCTCCTGGCTAATTACTCTTTGAACTGATCTAGATCTCTGATATTCTGTTAACCTGTGGCAGGGACAGACCTACAAAAGAACATCTCATTTCAGACACTCGTTCTTGAGGCAGTGTTAATAACCGTTCCCCATTAACCAGCCTGGAGAGTCCAAGCTAATTAATCTTCCCTGAGATGGAAGCCACTCCACCAGGATGGAGAGCAGTCTCAGCGCTGTGCCATCTCTGGCTCTGCTGGGGCACTGCCGAATTTCTCTCAGGTTCCTCCACAGTGAGTGCATGTGCAGAGAGTTCAGTTCCTGGATTTTCACGTGAATAATTCTGAAATCTCACGGGTTTAATGAAATCTAGTGGTGACAAGATCTCTGTTTTAACTGGATGCTTTTCCGTATTGAGGGACTTGGGTTTCTCCGGTGCGCGGAGGTCAGTGCTTTCATTTCTTAACTCTTTCCCAGGTGGTTTTTCTTTGTAAGATGCCAGCAGTTCAGCCGGTTTCTAGTGTGATGGGTTTCATATTGATGAAGACAGCAGATTGCAGGAATATGACCGTGAATATAATGACAGGAAGGAGGGTCTGAGGAATGTGCCAGTGCAGGATTTCTGTTCTTGAGATCTTAATCTGCACAAGAGGTATTTTTTTTTCCTTACGAATGCAGTAAGAGATGAAATGGAGCAAATAATCTACTAAACAGTTATACGTTTTTAACAGAACGTGTTCAATGCTAAAGAGTTTAGTTATAAAGAGGCTGCAGGGAGAACGTAATGTGTGCATTTGTGTGTCACATGTTCATAGCAAAGTTGTCCCAAAGCAGAAGACAACATTAGTCTTGGTAGATGGAGCTAAAATTATATTTGTCTATATGAAAAAAATAATAATATCATGACTCTGGAGTTCACAGAGACAGGAAGGCAGAGCATCTGTTTTTATTTTAACATCTTCTGCCTTTTTTTTTTCTTTCAGGTCATATCTGACTCCAGTACGGGATGAGGAAGCAGAATCACTGAGAAAGGCACGATCCAGACAGGCTCGACAGACTCGCAGGTCTACGCAGGTAAAGAATGGGAATTGTCATGTTCAAGTGAAAGATGAAGAGAGCCAGTGTGCAAAGAAGCAAAATTTCTTTTGCTAGTGTACTGCTACTTACTACAAGGGGCTTGTCTGCCCTGCCAGTGTTGGAGAGATTCTGGTAAAAGTTCACCCAAGCAGTTATTACCAAATACTCCTCTAAGCATACACAAGTGAGATTTCAAAGTTCTCATTTCTGCAGTATAGCTGCCTTTTCGTTTGTAGCTTGATCGTGTATATTTGGGTTGCTTTGACTCATTTATTGCGTAGATGCACTGAGAAATGTGTTAAAGGCAACACAGTGCTTTTCTTGGTGTTAGCATAAAGGCAAAGCCCAGAAACATTCGCCTGGCCAGGCAGAAGCCTGCTGGGCATCTTCAACTTAGTACCTGAGCTGGAAGACTTGAAATCTAACTGCACAAATTAAAGAATTCTCACTCTTACTTTCTCTCTAGGGTGTGACGCTGACAGACCTTCAGGAGGCAGAGCGAACCTTCAGCCGGTCTCGGGCAGAACGGCAAGCTCAGGAGCAGCAAAGTGAGAAAGCTGAGAGCACTGAGCCTGCTGAGGACAGCAGTGAGAGGCAGGAAACCCGGTCACGGTGGAGCAGAAGTGCAGATGATGAGGTGATCCTCCTGGCCTTACATCTGCTTGTTTGAGTTAATGAAACCATTTAGGATAGCTGACACAAGGAGAAATTCTTATGGGGTCCTCTGTTTATTTTAAGGGGGGCAGACTTGCTGGAAAGAAGTAATATTGAGGATTATCCCCACCTCAGAAATCTGTGTGAGGGGTGTGGATATGGAGGTGTAAGATTTTATCTCTTCATTTGCTCTCCACTGAGAATTTTACTTTTCTGTCTTGCCAGAAAATAAAACTGTGTAGATCATAGAAAGTGAAATGAGAAGGCTAACAATAAAAATGTTGCCTGGGTCCATCCTTACTGTGCAGACTGAACTGAAGCTTTGTGTTCACATCATGCCACAAATGGAAATATAATGCGTATAATAAATGCATATAATGGAAAGCCAGAGAGACAAGTTTTCTCCCCCTTCCATCACTCCTGTTCTTATTCGCCATAAATCATTTGTTTCGATGAGATTTGTTTTCCTGCTACTGGCAGTAAGGACTAAGTCAGTGATCCTAGGCTTCCCGGCCATGGGAAGGTGCTCTCATGATGTAGCTGTACAACGCTATTAGCATTTGTCCCAGTCTGATGGAATGAATTATACTTGATCTGGTGGATAGAGATGATTGCTTCCAGCAGCAGTGAAGAAAAAATTACGCTCTATAAATTACTCAGTTACCCGAAGTCCCAAATCCTTTTCATTCTACTAACTTTTTGTCCTGTTTGTTTACAGACTGTCTATCGGCGATTAAGGTGCCCAGCACAACCAGACAAACCTACAACACCTGTATCTCCTTCAACGTCAGCGCCTCTCCTTTATACAAGTTCTTATCTAACTCGAACAAATAAGTATCTAGGTCTTGACTCTGTGAATCCAGCAGACTTCAGAGGTGCAGCCACAGTGATGGAGAAAAATGGTACGTACCCAGCAGAATGAAGGAGATTCAAAGCTCAGGGTTTTTCATGGGTTTTAGAACTTTGTATACAGAGAATAAGTTTACTTGTTGTTCTGAGGGGAGAGGTATGGGGAGGTGCTATCTCATCAAATAAATATTATTTGTTTAAATTGAAATCTTGATGTAGGATACAGCCTATTGCTTGTAAAAGAGAGAGATAGAAGTCTTCCGTTTTGGCTAAGTGACCGTATAACATGAATCCATGTAGCGTTTAGATCTTAGAGCTTGGGGGGGAGCAATTCCACTACTACAGTTTGTCCTGAGAACAGAAGTAAGCTGTGATGATCTGGGAAAAGCTGACAGCTCAGATATCCTCTCTAGTCTCTGATAAAGAAAGGTGTGTGAGTAGCCGGATGGAGTAGGGCACTGGGATTCCATTTCATTTTAATAACTTCTTTGTAATATAACACAAGCCAAAATGACCTTGATCAGCTTGAAAAGAACCCCAGTGCCTTAGCAAAAACACAAATGTAAATCACTGAAACCAAAGCAGTCTTTCTTTGCTTGGCTAGAGTGCGAAGATCCAGATTTAGACGACAGATCTTCAAACAAACAGTCGATCCGAGAGAGGAGGCGGCCAAAAGAGAGGCGAAGAGGCACCGGCATCATTTTCTCAACAAAAGATGTGAGTTTGAGTTCCTCAGCGAAGTAAAACTCATTCTGTAATATTCAGGGTGAATTTTCTTCCAGTTCTGAGCTTCAGATTTTTTCCAGGTCAGTTGATTTCCCATTAGTCCTTCCCTCTCCAACTCTGTTTCAGACTGGCACTTCCAAAGGAATCACGTCACGCTTTGGCCCATGTAAAATCCAAGAAGCAGGCTCCGAGAGGCCTGCTCTTGATCACAAATCAGTGTGATCCTTGAAAAATTGTGAAAGAGCCCACATGGGAGAAGAGAGATTAGAAGTCTGGTTTCTTTGGAAGAAGGAGGTCTTGAGCCACTGGAAGTATTTTTCAAATTCCTCCGAGTCCAAATTTGGCTACACTTTAGGCCCCCTAAAAGGATGACAGTGAAGAATAAAACCTGTGTCTGGATCCCCTACCCAGCACCAGAGAACACACACAGCATATAATGCAGAAGAGCTGGCTGTGTCACGGTCATTTCTTTTTGTTCTGGTTTCAAAGAGATTTCTTCAGTCTGAGGGAAGAAAGGCAGCCCTCCAAACCTTGGTTAGAGGAGGAAAGAGAGTAAGGTACAATTCTTGCACAATACTATGAAAAATCAATGGTCTTCCCAATGGCAGACACAGATAATGTTGAGTCTTTGGAGTTGCGAGTTGACAGGACCCTCCTGGAAAGTATTTAATGGAAAGTCCATTAAATACTGGTTGCAAACACCCCTTTTGACTATTTTCAGATGATTCTGGCATTTTTGCACATGTGCCAAATGTAATCTTTTTTTTTTTTTCTTTTTTTTTTTCTTTTCTGCTTATTGTTTTCTTTGTTAAATGCTTTGCAGCTTGCCCAGTTATCTACAGGCTCGTTGGAGCAATGTTACTAGCTTAAGAGCAGAAGAAAAATCACTTCTCAGAGTTTTAGTTCATTTCTCTGTTATCTCTATATGAAACCACAGATACAGCCTCCGAAATGTCTTGAATTCAGTGCTGAGTCAGATGTGATTCCATGGTGGTTTACCATTGCTCCTAGAGCCTGCCATGGAGCTGTTAGGACGAGGGTTACAGAGGCAGCATAGTGCAAGCTGTCTGGGGTGACTACTCTTTCCTTCTGAGGTCTGTGTGAAGGGGAGAACATTATTTGAAAGTCAATATTTTGTCAACATTTCAGACACGTAGTCATCTCAAGTGTCACAACATTTGTTCCCCAAGTAAATTAGGTACATTACTCCCTCTCCTACCAAGTCTTGAGGAGCATTCAAATCACAGTAGCAGTCTCTAGAGAGTAATGCTTTCTCCACTACTAAGATGCTGTAAATGGCCATTAGTTTACCAAACATTATCAGATAATCAGCCAAAAGCAGCTAGGCAGGCAGTTATTTCAACAGAATTGTTCACAGCTTTAGCATCAATTCATAAGCAATACATTATGTTGCTGTGACAAAAAAATAAATTGCTGTTTTCAAGGCTGCCTAATTATATTGTTTGCTTTTCATCTTAGGATGATGATGAAGTTGATGGAAATGAGGAAGTGAAGGAAACTCGGGTAAGTGAAAACGTATTTCTGAATAGACGGTGCTTCACTCCTGAGGGTTGGTGGCTATAAGTCTTCTGTGGCTGTACTTCTGTTCACCCCAGAGGTTCAGGCTCTGTGCAGCAGCTGAGCACAAACCAGGAGGTGTCTGAGTAGCATTTTCCTTACTGATTTCTCTTCTGAAAGATGCTGAATATCTACAGACTGGCTTAGGTTCAAAAGTGTGCTGTCTGCAAGCTGCATAGGCGGTTCTTAAACCCGAAGGGACTGGAGCAGAATCAAGGGTGCGTGCATTGTGGAGGGAGCTGTCGGAGCGGCAGTGTCCAGGGAGCGAGGCTGTCAGGTGTCCTGGGGGAGGCGCGTGCCTGTAGCTCAGAATCATCCTGACGCTGTTAGTTTGGGCAGTATGTTTTGTGTTTCCAAAATCTGCGCCCTTGTCTCCTCCTGGATTTGTTTCCTTGTGGGAAATTGTCTTGCCAAGCAACACATCAGAGATTGTTCTTTGTTCCCCTGTTCTTGCAATAGTCTCTGTCGTCCTTCGAGGCCCTTTCTTTCCTTTCATAATAATTGCTGAATCCTTCCAAATTGACTTGGTTTCTTTTGTTTCTGTCTGTCTTTGTCTAAAACACATTTAAGCCTGACAACATGACTTCCTCTGACAATGGTAAAGCTAAATACATTTCCAAACTTAAAGCATGTTGTGCAGGACCTGGGAAAAATAGTAAATTTAAGCTTGTGTAGGGGTGAGCCTGCTTGTTGTCACATTTAATCTTTGACAGAAAACATTGAACTTAGGATAGCTTTCTCATGTGCTTTGCAATTCAGTAGTGACCGAAGGATCATTTGATTGAAAAGTTAACTGGTTCTTTGCTGAAAGTTTTCCATAACACTCCTTAGGGTATATGTTTGTTTTTCTTAGTACTGCACATGGTCAAAATGAGCCAGAGACTCACGTGGTGCTCGGATGGCTCTTAGCATGTACTTGTCTTTCAGTGCCAGCCTTTGCTTTCCCAAAGCTTACATTGCAAATGTGAAGCTGGGGACATTCCTTCCCACAGCGTGCGCTAGATGGGGAGCACCACCTGCTTCAAGAAGCCTAGCTCTTCCCACAAGAGTTTCTGTTCATACTGGTACACAGTTTTGTTGGATTTTCCACTTAAATGGCTGAATCTTTCATGCAGTGTGTCATCCTTAAAACTGTTTTGAAATGTTGGTCATCTCGCCATGAGACCGAAAGGGGTGTAGTTTGTAATGGATAAGAAGTAATGGTAACAGGGACACCTCATTTTCAGGAGTTGTGTTTTGGGCTTGCTAGGAGTGTCTTGTTCTTCTGGGAAATTGTCCCCGATAAGCTAAATTAAGACAAAAGAGTATGCGAAGCTGCAGGTTTGGAGGCATCTTCGAGTCTGATCCTGATGAAAACTCTGAGCACAGTCTGCATGACTCTTGTAAACAGGTAAATTGCACTTCGAAGAATTCACTGTCCGCTCCCAGAAGTTCAGGGTCACCCAGTCTCTTACAGTCATTGTTGTCTTTCCCCAGACTAACAGCAAGGAATCCTTTTATCTGGTACTTCCCACAATTTTCTTGTGGGTTCCCATCTAACAGCATGGCGACTTTCCATCGGTTCCCCTGGCCCCTGTTGCTTTGTGGCAGCAGCGCCCCTTTTCTTCTTAGGACCTTGCACATGTTAAATCCTGGCTTAGACTCTCCTTCCACTGGCGCCCATCCTCCCAGCCCTCTTGTTCTTATCCAGTTTCCAGTTTATTTTCTTTCCTGATCGCCTCCAGCATCATGTTTTCTTGATCACTCTTCCCCAGTTTATTTTACGTGCAAATTGAAGAGATTTCTGTGCTGCTAGCTGCCAGCCAGGTTGGCAGGAGTCACTGAGCAGCTACTTGTTTCAGTTCTAGCAGCAAGGACAATTAATAATCATTAATTTATCAATAGTAACTTGCTGTTCTGGACAGGTGGGTGCAACCACCAGAGCTGTGAGCTTGAATTCACTAAAATGTCCTATTTTAGTTGCAGACCCCCAAAGATTCCCTGGAGTTTGAGCAGATTTTTTTCCCTCCCGTGTTTATATCTTGGCTGATATTAGAAAGATTTTCATGGGAGCCAAGAAGGGCCCTACTTGAATTCCCTCCTCCAAAATATGCAGCGATGGAGCTCAGCGAAAGAAAGGTAGATGCAGTTTTTTGAAAAGGGAGAAAATACATGTTGTTCTAATTCTCAGAAGTGGATGAATTATTTTGGCCGAAACTTATGAACACCAGCGTGGGAAACCAGCCCAGACGCTTTGGCTGAGTTTTAGGCAACTGAGAGCAGTCTCGTAATAGGATGTGTCAGGCAACCTTCATATGTTTTGCTACCAACCCCGCCTTTCTCCTTGTGATGTAGACTGCTTGAGTACACTGTGGAAAGTTGGAAGAGCAGACAAAGTTTTATTGTGGAATAAATGTTCAAGGGCACAAGGGCTTTAGTTGGAAAAAGCCTCTGGGGAAGCAGCTTTAGGAGTTTTTTGGTTTTTTTTTTGCATGGTTCCATTGGGAAGAATATGTAAAGGAAAGAGCCTTTGTTCGGTTTGGGCAGACCTGAGCTCAAACCAGAGATGAGAAAAGAGTTTGGCCTCAGTCTAGTCTCCATTTCTCAGCAAGTAAAAATAATAAAATAAAAATAAGAAATATTTGCAAGAGTCTCAAGGATCACACGAGCAGTACCAGGCTGAGCACTGGGGATGGGCTCTGCGGCTCACAACAAAGCAGTGACCGAAATATTACTGCGGATTCAGCCATGGTGAGGCTAATGAGTATGAAGACCGTATGATCAGTCCAGGTGCAAATCAGTGCAAATCTAGTTTGGGATGCAGCATTTGAAGGGTGATGAAGACTAAAGAGAACAGTCCGGTGTTACATTTTGGAGAGGGTTTTCCCTGTCCCTGGCTCTTTTGCCTTTGACTTATACCTGACTTCTGCCATTGCTGTTACATAGTAGAAGAAATTGGGACCAATCTGGAAGAAAAGTGGACTCCGAATGATGTATCATCCATAACAGAAGTAGAAAAGTGTTTGTAATCATTTAAAGCATTTTACCTCCTTGTATTTCTCTTCCGTGGCATTGCAAATGTGCCTCACCCTTGGGTCATACGGTTTGTCAAGGGAAAGCTTTAAATACGGCAGAATGCACCGAGTGTCATGTTGGTAAAGTAACAACTCTCTGGGCAATAAAAGTGTCAAAGAAAACATCTGTTTTCATGAACTTCCCCTAGGACAGTCTGTATAGCACAATATAAAACCCAGACACATTAATGGGATTAACTTTTATGCAGAAATAATGCTGAAGCGTACGGTTATGGATTATGGTCGCAGTAAGTGTATTAAATAAGCTCCATTCTTGCCTTCCTGAACTTTGATTTACAAAACATGAGTATTTTAAATTCTGCAAAACACCACTCAAGCCCACTCTGTTTTGTAAATACTATGTTTTTTGCCTAATTGTATTATTAACATGAAATCACCAGATGCAACTGGATGCTAATAAAAACTAATCTCTCTCGGAAGGAATGAATTTCTAAGCTCGATTTTATGAATTCTAAGGGAAGACCAATGAACTGAGAAGTTCTTTATGCAAACTAAATGTCCTGATGTTATAGCTGTTTCCAAGTATGACTCGGGAGTCTTGATACTGGTATATTTCTTACCTATATTTTTGCTTTTAGTGGCGTTTTATCTTCCATGGAGACTTGCAATTTAGCTTTTGTAGCTGTGCTGTTTATCGCATCAATCTTTTAAAAAGATAAACAACCAAAAGATCAAAAGCCATTTCAGTTCATGTTTTCTTAACTTGCCTGTTACAGCCAGACTGCATCTGTCGGGAGCCCTGGGAGTCCCAGCTATGGATCCTACTAGTTTATTGTCCTCTTTTCCCACTTTGAGCAGTGCGAGGCGTAGCACTGTGCAGGCTGTTGACATGCTTGCGGACTGTCTTTTTAAGCTAAGGAAGGATCCGAGCCCTCCACTTTCTGGCCTCGGATTGCCTAATATGGTAAGGTATGTCCTCGGGCTGCACTGTTTTGCTGAGATACCAGGGAAAGTTGACTAGGAAAACGGAACAAAATAGGTGAACTTCTTGCTAGCTGATAAGAAAGGAAAATCATTTCATCTAGATAGCATTATAGGATCCTGCTCATCGTCCACCTTACTGCTCCTAGCCCCGGGTCCCATTTGGGGAATAAGGATGCAGGAATTTTGCCCTGGTTTTACCCTTGACTATTTACTTATAGCATAGATGCAGTGTGACGTGGGAGGGAAGCCATCTGGCCCACATCCAAGGTAACGTAGGTGGTAGCTGTGCGTCACTTGCAGGGCTATAGTTAAATGATAGAGAACTTAATTATGTGGAAAGCAAGGCTGTGAGAGATTGGGTCTGTTTAGTCCTGTTTATAAACAAAATGCTCTAATGGATTGTGTGTGCTGCAGCGAGAGGAGATCTTTAATATGAGTGCAGCTAGCAATATCAAGATGGGTTCAAAATAGCAGAAAATTGCTGCAAGAGCATGAGTTAGTGTTTGCTGTAGAGCTTTAAGTGTGGTGAAGAACATTTGTATTGTATTTGGAGTACCCTGGCTTCCTTGGGAGGTAGAGGGGGAAGACTACAGAACTTCAAATTCATTCTGCAAATATTTCTACAAAAAATTCTTCACCTCTGCACAGACGATTTGCCTCATGAGCTCTCCAGCCTAATATGCCTCTGTTGTTTTTACTTAACCTTAATGTTTTGAGAAGGTTATTGGGCTTGCTGTCTGCCATCCCTGTCGGTACGGCATTTAAATCATCAGCATGGCTGTCCAGTTCCTATTTACAGCTCTGGGAAAACACATTGTTTGTGCTTAAAGCCAAGCAGGCCAAGTCGGCTACGTAGACTACAGGGTTACAGCTAAGTACGTTCAGGTTAATTCCTGCAATTCACCGAGCTGCTGAATTAGGAAGGTGTAATGTGAAGCAGTGGCCACG